CTTGTTGTCTTTACTAGTTTGAAAATACAGAGATTGTTGTCGTAATAGGTCAGCTGTTATGACAAGTCCAATTCAGCCGTACTGCCGTGAAGTCACATCAGCTTGATAAATGAAGGAAAGGTGTTATCTGAGGCACGAAGCATTTAAGTTTTGTACCGTATGGTCTAAAGGAAAGAATTGCAATCTATAATTGAAATACAGTGCTGGCAGGTAATTACCATCTGACAAGGAAAAGGAGTGTGGGGTTTTTATTTCTTTTAAGTGACCGTTAATAAGGGAAACTTAGTTACCAAGCCCTGTGTGGGGTGTGCATGTAGTTAAAAGAGCATACTCTGCAGTTGTTTGTTTTTCTGCTGTTAAATTTGTAGCTGTAATTAGTAAATTACCTAAACTCCCTCCTGCCATGCACATTGGCCTTACAAATAGGAGCCAAGCTCTTCGCCTCTGAATTCAGGATAGAATTCGTGCTGCTATTTCCCTTCCCTTGCTTAAATTAGTTTTTCTGGTGACTTGCTGGTCTCAAATCAAGTCAAAGGTAAAACCTCCTCTTGAATCCTCACTGCAAAAAGTGGAGCAGAACTTTCACGGTAGTAAGGATTGCCTTTTCTAGCAGGAATAGAGCGGTAATTTTTGCTAGAAGTCAACCATTGACGTAATCACTCTGGTAGCCCACTGCCTCAGGCTTTGTTCCTCTGTAGTCCTTCTCTAAAAGAGAGTATTAATGTCTAGGTGCTTCGAGTTTTCCAGCTCTAAGGTAGATGGAGCCTGGAGAAGGGAATAGAGGCAACGTTAGTGTATAGGTAGATCTGCTGATGATGACATAATGAAGATCGAAATCCTGCCAGTTAACACCTAATATTTCTGTTGGTTTGAAACTCTTTAAAAGTTGTAGCTGTGAGACTCTACTCTCTTCTCTTTAAACACTGTTTCAAAAGATAGTGTTAAAAGCCTTTGTTTCATGAATACCTTGCTTGTTTTCGTGCTGGCCAGTGAGCAGGTGTGGGTTTGGGGAAGGTTACTGCTCTCTGCAGTTACGTTGTGATGCTTGTATTCTTATTAAGTAGCTGTGCAGTTCTGCTGCTTGATTTTAGTGTATGACCAGAAGCCTGCCAGTAGATGACATGGATTGGAGAAAGCAAATTGTTGCCTTAGGTACTGATGACAGTAGTTGTACACTTTGGGAAGTGTGGTGATTTTTGCTATTTACCCTTTTGGCCCTACAGAAAGTTTATCTTAGTGTGGGGAGTTCTGATAAAGTTCAGTAGAATAATGTAAAATGTCGTTGGATGGATATGGGGGAATAGGTCTATCAAAGAATCCTTCCAGATTTATTCCTGATCTAAAATGTACCAGTTCTTTCAGTGTTTGCTGAATAGCTGGGTTAATATTTTAGTGCTGGAGCTTAAAGGTTAGAATGTAAAATTTATACTGATAGTAAAAGTACGTACTCCGTGTTAGTACATCTCTTGGAATACAGCTTGATGTGTTCGATGGCTTAAGACTGAGCAGCCAGGATTGTATTAGCTGGCATCTTAGCTTAGTTCTCAAATTTAGATTCTCCTTGAGTTCCCTGTATCGTTCTGTACGTTCTCTCCGATGGCTGATTTCATCAGTTGAAGTGCAATTCTAATTGCACATGCACAGATTTGAATCTGTGGGATCGCTGGAACAAAAAAAGATCAGGCTTGCATGCAGATTAATATTTGGCAGTATCCTACTATCTTCACCTTGTCTTTCCCCTCAGACCAATTAACAAGTTTGCCAGCAGGTAACACCTTTTTTGCACCGTACAGCCGTTTGCCAGGGTTTTCTGAACAGGACTCTGTTGCGCTGTTCTAATGGAGTAAGATTCCATGAGAAAGTGATCTGTCTTTTGTGGAAAATGTAAAAAACCAATTGGCAGATGAGCCTAGGGTAAACTCGTCTCAGATAAAAGACTCTCTTGAGATTGTAGTGAACTGAAGTTCAGCTTTTAGAAGACAGTGTTGCCATAAAGCTTGGCAGCTCTGCGGATGGCTGGTTTTGATCACATACTGAAAGAAATGCTGAAAGCTCCTAGTTGCTGCATGATAATGTGCGTAAAACTTTGGCTTCAGCCAGGCCATTTTGAAGGCTAGCGGACTTTCCAATAATTGATCTAAATAATAGAACAGAAACCTCAGTTTTAGTGGGGGTTTGGTCCATAACCAGGTTTGAGACCTCCTTCAAAGATACTCATGTGTGGTTTAGTGCAGCCATGACAAACTGCCTTTCTGTAATGCAAATAAATGTGGGGTTTGTTGTGAGGATTTTAATTCCCTCTATGTAACACTAGCAAGGACTGTAGTGCACCCGAGTCCCGTCTGAAAGGCGTGAGGAAGTTGATCACTAGCTGTAAAGGCAAACAGTGTGGCAATGTCAGCAGTCAGATTCTTGCACCGCACTACCTAGTGTATCTTCTGGAAAGTGGGAAGGTTTCTGGAATCAGGAACCACCCGTGTGATATACTGAATGTATTTGTTTTTGTATATTGGCAACAAAAGTGTTTGATGTTCTTGCATATTTCTGGTGTGCACATATATTGAAATCTCTTGTCTTCAGTGGCAACACTTGTGTTAATATAAATCCTAGGTTTTGTGTTTGGGTTGAAGAGTGTCACTGCCTGGTGAAGAGGTAATAGGTGGTGTATAATTGTTTTTATATGGGGGGTTTAACTGTACTGTGGATTAGTAAAAATAGCTTATGGCTCTTCAGGAGAAAAATGAGTTCTTCATGGTAGTCCACAGTGTAATAGGTGTTCATCATCATAAAAATCCATCATTTCAGTTACTGTTTCATTTTCTTTGTGGATCCTGCTAACCCATAAAAACAAAGTAATTACATCTAATGGTTATTTTGTCCTTTTCTTGCCCTTCTTCCTATGATCAAAAATCTTTTGGCTAGACTAGAACAATGTTCAATGACCCAATTTAACTGTTTTGAAGACTTAGTGTTGAGAATACAGTACTCTAGATAAAAACTTGGAGTAAATTAATCTGTAAATGCCGTCTTCAGTGGTGCTTGTTAGTGTAGTGTCTTGTGTGAGTCTATGTTTTTACGGAACTTCCAGGAAATACAGAATTAAACTGTAAACCAGCTTTCTCTCCACTCTGCCCCTTATATGCCAGAGTCTTTAGTGCAGGGAATGTGCCTGTATCGTAAATGGGACAGCTCGTACTTGCAGTTGTGATTGAAAACTTGTTCAGACAAGTTCCCCCCGCCCCCCATGTGAGTAGATCTTGCATGAATTTGTGTAACTCTGAAACAAGTTCTTTAAAGATATTCAACTTCTTGAGGGATGATGAATATTCACTTGTATGCTTCCATGTTCTTGACAGCTGTAAAAGTATCTATGGGCAGGTGATAAAAATGTGAGAGTCCTGATTTTTGCAGTTCTGTCCGCAGGGACGTATCTTACCCCTTTTTAAAGTCTCTGGGATCCTGTTCTGTGGCTGCAGGAATCTGCTCACGTACGTCACGTTGAAGGGTTGGAACAGTAAGAGAAACGGAGATGAGACGTTGTAGTCCGTGTCAGAAGACTTGTATAAGGAGCTGTAGCTTGTACTATAGTCATGTTTAATTTTTCTTCAAATCCTGTTTTAGCTGTTGCCTCTTTCTGTAGCGTGACCAGGTCTTCACTTGTTTTCTCACTTTTGGGTATATTCATACTGCCTAACCACATACTCAGATGAGATGTACATGATCTTTGCAGTCACCTAAGTTCTTCCCTGTGCTTACTGTAATCCATAACAAATTTCACTTTATAATTATAGCTAAACTGCTATGTACCTGCCCTGGGCAAAACAGAGAATCTGTTCTTCTGTTGAAACAGCCTGAAGCTTTTTAGCCAGGACAGAGCATAGTGAGGAATATAGCTTGAAGAAATACCTTGGCATTTTTTAACCTGCTCAAGCTATTGGGAAGTGATATTGATTACTGTAGTAGCTTCTCCTGTTTCTTAAAAATGCCACTTTTTTCACTTCTTACTAAAATATCAATAAAATCATTACACAAACATAGAAATGCCTCATGTCTGAAGCTTGTTAGGAGTTAAAAAAACTCCTCTAGTGCATTAAATATTCCAAAATAATCTAAAAATTAAAAGTGTTAATCTCTTTCTGTTTATCTTTATTCCTAACTTGGACTTTAGGTCGTTAAACTCAATTATGTTATATAATATTTTAAAAGAACGATATGAACAGAAAATACAGCAGGCCCTAACAAGGATTTCTTATGAACTGCAGGGTGGCCTTTTTCCTTTTGCACATAAGTTCTGGGTCTGAGCGATGATCGCTCCATGTTGGCTATGGTGAGCTGGACTGGGTGGAGAACTTCCGAAATCTAGGTGCAGTTACTGGAACAATAATTTTCCGTTGAGTTAATGTAGCTGTTGGCACACCCTGAGTGGAAACTTGACTTAAGACTTTTGCTTGTATAACCCCAAAGATGTAGTATTCAGAATTCGAATGGGTAGAAGTAGGCACTGATCTCCAGCAGAATCACAGCTTGATGTGTATGCAAAAATAGGGAGTATTTATAGATAGTCTTAATGTTTATTGTCGTAATGCATCTGCGTGGGTTTGGGTTTACAGCATTTAAGGCTTTTCCAGCTTTTTCTCTATGTGAATTGTCAGGAATCTTATGCTGCTGCTTACAGGTGGTGGCAAGATTTTTGTGATACGCATCAAATAAAATCACTTCTTTCAGGAAAATGAATTCCGTAAGAGCTTGAAGTTAACACTTTGGGTAGTACCTTACTCCAAAATATCTGTTCACTTAATAGATTTCAGTTAGGGTTTTGAAGTTAGATGAAGTAGTCATTCCATATTTACTCAACTCATGTCATAAGTAATTGCTAGTCTCTGAGCAGTAACAAGTGAATGTTGTTGTGTGCCTTTTTGTTTTTAGAACCTGTCAGTCATGAGCATTCATAATTGTGTGTGTTTTGTTGTTGTTTTTTTTTTTTTTCCTCACACAATCGAAGGACAATACATTTTTCAAGTTCTTCCAAGTATTCTTGCACAACGAGGAAAAAGAAGAAACATTTCAGTGAATGAGGAGGTTTTTGCTTCTATAGTGTTTTCCTTGAGAAGTGGGTCTTTGAATGAGGATGACAATGGAAGAGATGAAGAATGAAGCAGAGACCACTTCTATGGTTTCCATGCCCCTCTATGCTGTAATGTACCCTGTCTTCAATGAGGTAAGCTACATTTTCCTTTAGAATTTAATAATCCCCTTTACATTGGGAAATATGATCGCACTAACAGGTTGCTCATTTGGCTGGGAAAGCTTTGTGTCTAGCACCATCTCCTCCCTATGCGTTGCTTTACCTTTCTTTTTGTGAATACAACTTCATGCTCATCAAAGATTGCTGGTGATCTTGGCCCTGATCTTTTTTTCTACCTTTCACAGAGAATTTTCACAAAAATCTTAGGTCCAGAATTCTATAGCAGGAAGTAACCTGCAGTTGAACATGTACCTGTGAACAGCTTGATACATTTTAATTTTACTGCTAATGGTTAGAATTTAATAGGATGTTTGTTTTTCTGAGAGTGTTGGAGATTGTCAAGATGTTTTCAAAGCTTCTGTCAGACTTCTGCTGTGGGCTGGGTAAATGTAAGATATGTTCAGTGACATCTTTGACTTTTTGTTTTGGGGGGAAGTCTGTCCTTTGGGATTAAACTTTATGGTATCTCTCCCTCAAGTAAGGCCAGTAATTTGAATGCTTCTGTCAATTCCCTTTTTCATTATGCTAAGGCAGGGCTTGGGTGCTTGACTTGTTTTGTTCTGGTAACATTAGAATTACTAATAATTCTAAACTTTTATTGCAGCTAGAGAGAGTAAATCTATCTGCAGCTCAGACACTGAGAGCAGCTTTTATTAAGGTGAGAAGTAACTTGCATTGAAGAATCACTGATTGCTTGAAAGGTAAACCAGATATGATGAAGCTAAAAAGCCAGCTCTCTTGTTCCCTTGTGTCTTTGTGTTTGAAGACTGCATCCTCGATCCAGTAGTCTAAAAATAAAGCAGGCAGTTGTACAGACTGTAAGTTGGAGATGTCTGCGAATGTTATGGGTAGAAATCTGAGTGACACAAGCATATTGAGCAATTTTAAACAGAATCTTGTCTTGTCCGTGTAGACAAAAGCTTAAATGAGGAATCAGTCAGTGAAGGTAATAAGGTAATAAACGTAGTCTAAATTTGACAAACTTGTGTAGAATAGGTGCTCATGAGAAATAGGCGTGTAGTGGACTTTGAAAATGGTTTACGAAGTGAGTGGTAATGGGATTGTTTTGTGGATGAGGCTACGTTCAATGTTCGTGTTTGCATCCACCAGTAAATGGAAAAAAGATTCTTCCAACTCTTGTCTTATATTCCTAAAGAATGAAAACAGATAGTCCTTTATATTGCTTTATTGAAGTGATGATCTTCCGAAATTCTTTAAACAAAAATAATTGCAGACGTGACATATCTTAATGTGTGAGCTGTGCAACTAAGTAATATTTCCCTGTTTTTACATTTTAAGTGTGCTTAGTCTTAAGTCTCAACTAGAGCTCGTACAAGTCTTTACGACTGGTGATAAGGAGCTAAGTTGAATGCAAATAATATAAAAACTGAGATATGGGTGGAAATGGTAGTGCTAGCTAAAAAAAGCCCTGTACACCCTCATTCTTATTCAACACAGCGTAATTTTGTGATAGCAGCACAGGTAGAATGAATAATTCCAATGTTAGTCTGGCTTAGCTTTACTTAGATGTGTCATCAATCAAAAATGGGTTTTGTTGGGTTTTGGGGTGGTTTTTTTTTTTTTTGGAAAAAGCAATTCCAAGATGATGTCTGAGCGTATGATGTGATTGATAAGAGGCACATTTACAAAATGTGGTGTGGAAGACGGGGGAGTAGGGCCTGTGTTTGAGTGAATTAAATCCCAACGGATACGGTATCTTTGTCTCAAAGCTTAGTGTTTATGGAAATACCACAGAATATAGACTTTCATGAAAAACTTTGTTATTCAAATTGAAATGAGTGGAAAGGCTTATTGGAAAAGTTGTTTATACAAAACCACTGATATAATCCAACAAAAAATGGATGTTGTAGCAGCAGAATGATTTTCAATGTAATCTGCTAGTTTAAAGCCATTAGACTTTCAAAGTTTCTAGCAAACTCCTGCAGTATATGACGTAAGTTAACATGAAAATGTGCCTTTGAGCTTGCTGTGTTCAGGTCTTGTGTATTTAAGAATAAAAATTTTCTTTGCCATACAGGCTGAAAAAGAAAATCCAGGTCTTACACAGGACATCATAATGAAAATTTTGGAGAAAAAAAGTGTGGATGTGAACTTCACAGAGTCTCTTCTGCGTATGGCAGCTGATGATGTAGAAGGTACTACCTCTTATGTTGAATAAGTGTATTTTTAATTATACTGTTAACTGGGAACATGCATTTCTATGCCTGTTTTCAGAAGAGGTTATTTGTTTCTTAATAGAATTTTTTTTCAGCACGACAGAAGAATGTTTGCATTTTGCGAATACCTCTGTGGGGGAAGAGTTAAATCCCCCTAAAAAGCATACTTGACTAATAAGAGAAAGAAAGAGAGTGAATGTTTAGAACTGCGTTGATGTGGGTGCATAGTTCACCTCTTGCAATGCTAACAACCAGGAAAAAAGCATATATGGAGTATAATATTCACCTTCCTTTTCTCTGCTTCAAATTACAAGCAGTAGTTATGCTGTCAGAGAAGGGCAGAACACAGCAGGCTTTAAGTTATTTTAATACTGCATTTGATTAGCATAGGGTCTTCAGTGTCTCACTGAAATCAAGTTAGATGGGCTCTTTTGCCAAGGTGCAACAATAAAGGTTGTTGTTGCACTGTGGTTCTGTTGAGGCAGAGTGTGTTCACAGCAGTTTTCTGGTCGTGGCTCTTTGGGCGCTGTTCACCTTCAGATGCAGCACGGCAGTGCTGCTGCGCTTTGTGAAGTAGTGTTTGCAGCTGTCACCAGAGTCCTCAGGAAAAACTAACGGTGCTTTTAAATATGTTGTTCTTGTTTAGAGTATATGATTGAAAGACCAGAACCAGAATTCCAAGATCTTAATGAAAAGGCACGAGCACTTAAACAGATTCTTAGTAAGATTCCTGATGAGATCAATGACAGAGTGAGGTTTCTTCAGACAATCAAGTAAGTATTATGTATTTTTCTACAGATTGAGGGGTGAAACTTTTATTTAAATCTGAATGTTCAAATGCTGTGGGAGTTGCTAGCACCACTGTTCCCATTGGAAAGGGGCCTGATCCTCGCTTATAAATGAGCGGGGAGAGCTCAGGGTTCTTAACGAGATTCCCACGTTACTGGTCTTGCTACGTCCTGTCTGACACTTACTCTGTAGAGACTGTTTTAAGAAGTATTTGGCTACTAGAAGGGGATTAAATGCCAACATTTAAGTAGGATAGCTTAAGGATATTACAGCTATCTTATTACAGCTATCTTTTTATTGCCACACAGGGACATCGCCAGTGCAATAAAGGAACTTCTTGACACAGTAAATAATGTCTTCAAGAAATACCAATACCAGAACCGGCGGGTATGTGCAATAACACTTTTTATACAGTGTTTTCAGTAGTGTAAGAGGAAGCACATCCTTTTGAGCAAAGGATGAATAGGAGGGCTTAGCTGGTCAGTGACATAATACTTCACAGGATTGTTGTGTGGTAGGTCTCAGCAGTTTTATAGGAAGAGGAGGATTTCTCTGCATGTCTTCTAAAAAAAAATAATTTAAAACCCCAATTTTCTGCACCTAACATAATGTTGGCCAATTTTCTTATCATTTTAACCTCGAGATTCTTGCTGTACCCAACAATACGTGAACTAAGACTCTGCTCCTGGTGTTTTTGTTTCTTAGGCACTTGAGCACCAAAAGAAAGAGTTTGTAAAATACTCCAAAAGTTTCAGTGATACTCTGAAAACCTATTTTAAAGATGGAAAGTAAGTATGTTTTTGTACTACTGTTTTACATAATGAGGGGCCTTGTTGACCAACAGGGGAAAATAGGACAAGCTTTGGGGCGTAACCTACCTTCTTTGGGCCTTGCCTAATTTTTTCCTCACCTGTGTCCCCAGACCATCGTGGCTGCTTTGAAATACTTGTACTCCTTTTGTAATGCCTTTGAGGAAAGAGAAGTCTGTTACATGCACCGCCATACAACACCCATGTGCAGTATTTGCTGTGAACTTGAATATGTGAAGTTAAATTTCATGGCCCCATGTGGTTTTTCTCAGGGTATATACAAGGACAAAAACTTATGAATGCTTTACTGAAAACAGTACTGAAATCTACCGATGTGAAATATCGTTTGCAGACGCTAAACGTCTCTGCAGTGTTTTCTTTGATTTACATTTTTATTGTCCTTTCTTTATCACTCCTTATAGTGCTTCATAGTATTTGGAATTACTCAGCTGATGAATCTTTTTATATTTGAAGATTTTTAGCCTTCAAACTGAGGCTTTTTTCAGGCCTTCACCTTGGGTTTTGAAGTCACTACTCGTATATTTCCCTGTAGTGACTGTTTTGGGTGAGGAGTGTATCCCCCTCAGATTTTGACAGTGCCAAAGTGTTGTGTGTGCTACTGTTTTAAAGATGAGAACTAACTTTCACGTCTGCCAAAGGAGAGAGAAGTTTTGAGACCAGCTGTGGATACTACCTTGCCCTTATCGAAGTGTTGTGGGTTTTTTCTTCTCTTACTGAAACTGGGGCTAAACTTGGTTATGATACCAAAATGAGATAGTTAGACCTTGGTAGCTTTATCGTTACTGAACAGGGGTATAGATGAGTTTTCACATGAACTAGGTCTAACCGATGGGTTAGAAAACTGTTTGCCTGAAGAAATGGGGGAAGGGTTGGATGTGTTGTGCGCGTACCCCACCGTACTGAGAGACCAGCTTTGTTTAGCCCCACGTGAAGTGAATGCTGTGCCATGTACAGGGGGCATGAGCTTAAAGCGTGTTGGGTATTATCAGTGTTGCAAGAAATCCCAGGTAAGGTGAAAAACTCGGTGACCTTGTACCTGTTTCTTAACAAAAAGAGACCTAAAATAGTGTGTCGCTTCCGCATGTGTGCATGCTTGGTGTTTCTTGAGGAAAGGGTGGCAAATTCCGAAATTGCTAGGGGATGGAGTGTTCAGCGTTGAAAAGAACGGGCGTTTAATGATCTGCTCCAGTGTTTCTCTTAGCTAGCTAAAATCCCAGAATTAAAAGATGGAGGTGTCAATGGTGATTGAGAGCCAGAGTCTCCAAGTTCCTGCCAATAAACACGGTCTTTCTAGGATTAGCTATGCAAATACGGCTGGCTGTTTGCCGGCAGTAAGCTTCAGGTGGGTCATGATATGGTAAAACATCGATATGCTTTCAGCTTGCAGAGCCCAGGTGTCAATATATTTAGTTGCCCAAACTTAATGCTGTATTTATTGAATGACATGCTTCTAAAAATGCCTGAAACAATATCTTTGTCTTTTGACAGGGCAATAAATGTGTTCATAAGTGCCAACCGACTAATTCATCAAACCAACTTGATACTCCAGACCTTCAAAACTGTGGCCTGAAAACTGTATATGCTGAGAGTTGTACTTTTCAATGGTGGATAGGGTACCTTTATATGTAAATTTTAAAGTTTTGACTGTATAAATTATCAGCCCCTCATGAGGGGCCTAATGCAGGATTTTGAATGGGATTATTGCCATCTTACACCATATTTTTGTAAAACATTGTAGCTTAATCATGATCTCACGATGAAGATTTTGCATCACTTTTTGCTATTATCATTCTTTTCAGAATTATAAGCCAAAAGAATTTACGCCTTAATGTGTCATTATGTAACATTCCTTATAAGAATTGTAAATATTTGGTGTTCTGTTTCTGACATTTTAACTTGAAAGCGGAAAACTGCAAGATTATGTATTTAACAATATTGGTGGCAAATATTCAATAAATAGTTTACATCTGTTAGACTGTCTTTTTGTATGTGAACAGAAGTGCATAACTCTTCTTTCTAGAACTGCAGAACATTCATTAAATGGAAAAATTAAAATTATTTGGGTGCTTAAAGCTACCGGCAGTTTAAAACAGTATAAAATGAGGGTTTTTCTTTAAAACTGAGATTTTGGCTGTGGTCTAATACTAGATCAGAATACTAGAACAATTCTATGGAAATGTCTTTGACAAAATAATGAAGAACCCCAGAAGTGGGATGTGCTTTTTGTTTTTGATAGAAACTAAATCTCACTTCTGTCTTAATCTTCTGTTGGTGGTGAGTTAACAGGTTTTATTCTTAGACTACTCCTAGGTTTTGAGGAGAGGATTACTTTAAATATATGCAGCTGACTATGCAGCAAAGGGTGAGTTTAAAATACCAAGACAACTGGGTTTTACATTGGTACCCTTTTGGGATGGAGGAGGAGAGAAGGTAGAACTCCTCCAGGTAGCACTAGTGATGTCTATACTATGCATGCCATGAGGCAACTCTTTTTTTTTTTTTTTTTTTTTCAGGGACTGAAGTCATGTGAGACCTTGATTGAAAAACACTTGACTGTGTAGATGGTTAAGAACTGCTGATGGACAGATTCAGGTTTTATCATTGAGATTTCATGGTTGTATTTCCCAAGTTCTAACGAATATCTCACACCCACCTTGAGGTTATTTTGAAATAGAATCTTTACAGAATAAAGCTCTGAAATTTTTCAAAATAGTGATGTGGCCCTAACTAGTAAGCTTAGGGAAGAATGTGAAGCAGTTTCTAAAGCTGCGCAGACTGTTGCAGGAGGATCACTTCAGACTGAAAGAGCACAATTGCTACAGAACCTTGTTTGGGTGTAAATGATGAAGAAAAGGTACATCCAGACTTTTCTTGCACACTGGCCTGGTGCTGCATTGCTCATCTGGGGCAAGTGCCTTATCCAGAGTACAACAGCTGGGTCTTCAACTGTGGTTATCAGCTTAAATGATCTGAAAGAGGACAATGCTCTCTGCAGCCCTCCGAAATAGCACTGGTGTTCTGCTGTATGTCCGTGCGTGGAAATGGCTCCTTGAGGGAAGCGCTGACTGTGGTGAAATGGAACAAAAATGTCAAGGATGGTATTGTGTAAAAAAATGAGCTTTTGGGCGTGTATGTTGTGGATTTCTTGGTTACATAAAGCTATAAACGGGACGTGGTACTTAAAACTTGCTGGTTTGTGACAGTGGTGTTTTGTCTTTACTAGCAAACTGAGCTTAGTAACGTGACAAAGGGATGCTTATACAACTTACAGTTAAAACTTTGTGCTATTTCTTAAGGCTGGGCATGCTAAACTCTCAGTTCTTGGACAGTGGTAGAAGAAAAGCAATGCTAGCAGCTGCCAGGGAGGCAGTCTGGCTAAATTAGTCATGTTTAATTTGCGTCTTTGAATTCTCTGAGTAAAAGGTTGAGTAGCTTTCCTCGTGGATGATGCTGACTTAAGTCATAGGAAGTCGTAGCATTGAGGGGCTTAATGAAAACGATATTAGATAGAAGAAAGGAAAAGGCACCCAGAGTTTCTGATGCTTCGTTCATCTTGAAGAGAGTGCTTGGTACTGGGGAGAGTGTACCAGTGGCTGTAAGGGTTATACTTTGTGAATTGGACTTCGTTCCAGTAAGATTCTGAGACTTTTTTTCTATCTTCTTGGATTGAGAGGGCGAGTAGCTAGAGTTGGCAGTCATTAGTTGAATGATACCGTGCTTAATGTTTATGTCTGCAGGTGTAGTAAAAAAAAAAAAACCCAAACAAAAAAAATCTTTAATATTTTGTGACTTTGGTCCCAAACAAGGTGCTGTGTTACGTCCTGCTAATTGATTCCTTGAAGTTAAAATGAAAGAGGCTGTCAAAAACCGAGCTGCTCCTGTTCATCAGCTCTTCTAAAACCTTTACTGGGTAAAAGGTACCGAGCATAGGCCTAAGCTTCAGGTAGTCTGGCCAATATGTTTTCTTTTATTTGTAACCTTATCGTGATTTCTGTTACAAGTAGTGGAAAAATTATTGTAATCAATGTCTGGTAGCGGGAGAACTTGAAAACTGGTATCTTCAGGTCACGCTCTTCTGTTGCGTGCAGTGAATCCATATCTAGAGGTCTTGCAGGCTTTATCTTCCACTGAGTATGAGCTGGGGCATATGTCTGTCAAATTTTATTGTGGTTTTGCACTTTATTGTTCGAGTTACCTGAGTAGCTAAAGATAAGTTTCTCTTAAGGATTTCTAATGCAGC